GCAATAAGGGCCTAAAGGAGGATCCAGGAAGTTACAGGCCCATCAGTCTTACTTCAGTTCTTGGAAAAGTTACAGAAAAAATCCTCCTGGGAGCAATCACAAGTCAGATGTGATTGGGAAAAGCCAGCATGTATTCACCAAGGGCAAATTGTGATTTATAAGCCCGGTTTCCTGTAACTAAGTAATTTGCTTGGTTGACATGGGGCAAGCCATGGACACTGTCTACCTGTATTTCTCCAAGGCTTTTGACATGGTTTCCCACAAGCTTCTCCTAGAGAAGCTGATGTGTTGTGGTCTGGACAAGTGGTCCATGCAGTGGGTGGGAAACTGCCTGGCAGGCAGCAGCCAGAGAGGGGTGATAAACATCTCCTTTTCAAACTGGCAACCTGTCACAAGATGGGTCGCCTGGGGTTGATGTTGGGCCCCACACTGTTTCATGTTTTCATAAGTAACCACCCAGATCACTTATGGTCACTTGGGGATCAAATGTACACTGCTGAATTTTGCCAATGATGCCAAACTGAGTGAGGAGTTGGACACTTTGGAAGGGATAGCCACCTTGCAGGAAGATCTGAATAGACTGAAAGAGTAGGGTAATAATAATCTTACGAATTTCAGCAAGGACAAGTGTAAAGTCTTAAAGTATAAGGTCTTAACACCTGGGAAAACACAATCCAGGACTGCAACACAGTCTGGGATCACCCTGCTGGGGAGCAGCTCTGGACAGGGACCTGGAGGTCCTAGTGAATAACAAGCTTAGTATGAGTGATCAGTGTGCTGCTACAGCAAAGAAAGCCAGTGAGATCCTTCAGCAAGGCATCACCAGCAGAGATGAAGCAGTCATTATCCCTCTCTTGTAAGCATTTGTAAGACTACACCTGTAATACTGTTGTCAGTTTTGGTCCTGACTATACAAAAAATATATGGGCAGGCTGGAGAGGATCCAAAGAAAGGCCACAAAGATGATCAAAGCACTGGGAAGCCTGCTGTGTGAGTGTGACTGAGAGAGCAGGGTTTGTTCAGCCTGGAAAAAAGAAGGCTTAGGAGAAACCTTATCAACTGGTTCCAGTATTTAAAGGGTGGCTACAAAGAAGATGGAGACTCTACTTTTACAAGGAATCATGAAAAATATGAGGGATAATGAGTACAAGTTACTCCTGAGGAGATTCCAGTTGAACACAAGTGGAAATGTTTTCACAGCCAGAACAATCAACCAATGGAATAATCTCACTAGAAGTGGTGGATTCCCCAACCACATTTTGAGATTTGGCTTGACAGGGTGCTGGGCCATCTTCTCTCTAGACCATGCTTTTGCCAAGAATGGTTGAACCAGGTGATCACTGAGGTCCTTCCAACCTGGTATTCTATGATTCTATGCTGAGTTAGAACCCAATGTCTAAGTTTCAGTTTGTACAACCAGAGAATTGATTTTTGTAGATTTTGCTACAGTATAGTGATACTTTAAAATATTTTAGTTGAAAATCAGTCACCTCACTGAGTTCTAGGAAGTAAAGATGACATGCCATTGTTATTACAAAAATGATAAGAGTTTAGCATATAATATTAATGGTCAAGAACAGAGATCTGTTTTTAGCAAACTCATGCTTGAATTCTTACTTTCTACACAGACTGCATCCTCAGCTATTAAAGGTGCTATCCAGCTGGGAATAGGATACACAGTTGGAAACCTTACATCAAAACCAGACAGAGATGTTCTTATGCAGGACTTCTATGTAGTGGAAAGTGTCTTCCTACCAAGGTAAGGACAAGTTTACTAAATCTGTCTTCAATAGAATCTCATCATGAAACTCTTAACTATATTTTGAACATGGATTGTTTTCCATTTCTGACAAAATGGTGCTGGAGTAAGTTTAATGCATGGAATTTGAAAATAATCCTGTCTTATTGTTGTCACTGAAAATGAAGGTAGGGAGAAAACTGGGTCACACTTCAACTGATGATTTATGACTTATCACTTACAGACTTAGAAGCAATTGTGAGACTTTCAATTAAGGGAGCCATTAATTACAATTTGAAGTGATGGTCCAACATTCACATTTGTTTAGTTTCTAAAAACTGAGAATAATACATGGGATTTTGTTGAGGGATTCAAGTCCTGCAGTGTCAAGTATAATATAAGAATTTATACTACACTATAAAATTCTGTCCAGGACTTCAGTCTGTGGCAATGCTCAGCTCTTAAAAGCTGACTACATGTTTTGCACCATTACTGTATTGCCAATTCAACTCATATCACTGCCAATCAATGGTATGGAATTTGTAACAATGTAGTGATGCTGATGAGAGAAATCAAGGTTGTACTGATTTTTGCTGTTCAGGAGCTGAAGGATAGTGCCATGTAACTTTTCCAAGTGACATACGCTAGGAAGGGATGAAGAAGGTTTAGGAAAAATGTATTTCAAACCCAGGATGTCTTGCTCTGTTCATTGTTGTCTGGGTTCTTAGTAGTGCTAAGTACTGACATTTAGTAAGGACTTGTTATGTATGCAATATTCCCTGAATTTGGGAATGATTTCTGTGAGTTTTTCAAAGTTTGTTCATGTGCTGTTTGAATGCCATTTCATAAGCTGTTTCTAATAATTTACAGTCCTTAATAATTGTTGATGTCACTAAACAAAGTTAAATTAACCACATAAAAAACAATTGCAGGCACTTTCAATTTTGATCTTTCCTCATGTAAATTTGCCTGATTCGACTCCTGTTTTTCTTTGAACTGAGGTATCCTTAAGATAAAATATATTTATCATATGAAATTAAGTTTTTACATTATATTCTTTAGTTGTAGTAATTGTACTCATATCCTTCTTCTGATGTTAGCAATGAGTTTTGTGCACAGTTTTGTAGCCTTTCTCTTGTAGATTAGGTAAATACAGAGAAGTTAACTACATGCATATTTTCATAGACTGTAATCACAGAATTTGTTAAAAAATCCAAATTGCAGGTGAGAAATTTGCATATCATGTAACAAAGTTTATATTGCTCTGAAAAATGGAGTGAGAAAATTGCATGTCTGTGATGGTGTTGGAGGCTTCAGTAGTTTGTTTGCTGTGATATCAGCTTTGATCATGGAAATGAAGTAAAATCTACATGTTAAAACTATTTTATTACATAACACAGTTTTGGAAAAAAATATTCTCTGTCTCTCTCAACAGTAGTTTTAGAAGGACAAGTGAAAATGGTTCATAGTCCATAGCATTGCATATATCTTCTTTCCTGTGAGACTCACAAGCATGTACAGACAGAAATGAAATTTCCCTGTTTTTTGTTAGTTTTAAGGGAGAGCTAGGACAGATCCCTCTGGCTTGAAACAAAAACAAAGGCAGAAGGAATAGATGGATTGCACTAATGTAGAATTGATTAGAAAAGCTTTAGTAGTACCTTTCTGGACAGTTTCCTGTAAAAAAAAGAAATAAATCATATGAGGAAAATTAGACAAATGGAAAGTAATGGCCAGAGCAGCATAGCTTTATTTTTTTTGCATAGCTATATAGTAAGCAGCAGTTTATAACCTAGTGAGTCATCTTGGCTGTGACAAAGAGACTCTATAAAGAGCACTTGTTGACAGCACTCTCTGTGGAACTAATAATTGACTATCCATAGCAATCTCCTCAAGCCATGACACTTGAGTTCATGTGCTGATGCAAAGGAATTTTCAATTGCAAGTCTTCTCTCTGTCTTAATTTAGCGTTCACTTTTATTTGTCTAAAATACCTTCAATCAAAAGAAGTATTAGTGCTCATAAACTGTAATAATTTAGGATTGCACATAATGATACAGGCTTCTTTCTTGCTGGCTGAGAGTATTGGGATGTTGAGTGTCTCATGATGGCATTATGTGGATTGGTCCTGAGTACCTAAATGTAGTGTCATTGCCCTAGTTGGAAGTAAAAAGCTGAGGTGGCATGTTCTTTACAGCTAGGGCTGCACTCCAAAGGTGCACCTCAGATGCTCTTCACTTTTTTTTAGGGCAGTACCTACATGTGATGGCAGTACTGTGAAAGTCATTACTCTAATGACATTTTTTTCCCCTTTGGACTGGTCTGGATTGAAAGCAATTAGTTGAAATTAGTAATGCCAACAGGTCAAGTGGGCTGACCTCTACCTGCTAGCACCCTGGAGCAAGCTGAGGTTGGATAAACTTTTTGCAGAGGTTTGCAGGTGAAGGAGAACATAGCAGTGCAGTAAGTGTGGTGCTAAAAGTAGGTGCTTACCAAGCAAGGAACAGTAATTTTCCACTTGCTTTGGGTACAAATAATTCATCTGCAACTCCAAGCAGGCTATTAGCTGAACTTCCCCTTCACTGTGGCCAATTCACAGCAATCTGCCTCTTTGCAAGGTGTCCTACTCCACCTTTCTCCTATGTTTTCCCTGCCTCATCCAGGCACACAGTAAGATGAGAGGACAGCTGTTCTGCAGTGTCATAGGCACATCTACTGCTTTGACAACAACAGGAGTGCTGTTATGGCCATGATAAAATAGATTTAAGCTAGTAGAAATGCAATGAAACAGCAGCCTGTGCACTACAAGCAAAAATCTCTACCCTTTTACTGTTAGTAATAGTCAACAGTTGTTCATTAATTTAATCAGGTGCAGAAGATAAATAGTCTCTACATACCTCTCAGACCCTGAAATCACCCTCAGCACTGCCTATACCTCAGCTTCAGTAGCCATAGCAAAACACTTCCAGCAGTGTTCAGGATTCATGAAGGAGGAAGAAATAATGCCTGGGTAAAAAGTGGTCAGGTCAGTGCTCTGCATATTGCAAGAGCTACCGATGTAGATCTGGAGGAACTCCATGGGCTGCAGGTTATGACTGGTCCAGAGTTACTTTGTAACCATGCTAAATTGGTCAGAGTTTATCCCAGATTCATTTAGGTGTTTATTTCTGGAAGTGACTTTGAGTGAAGTACAGATGTCTCTGTACAGTGAGTGGATTTGAATTGCAAAGGTGCTTGTTTTCATTGAACATTGGAGTGGAAAAGTGCATTTCTTGCTTTCTGCTTCACACTGTGGCATTCCTTTCATCCCTTGCCCTTTGAGCTACCCAGGAGTTTATATAACATGTTGCTTTTGGAAACAGAGGTATTACTAGAAGCCGCTATAAAGGAGTTCATTGAGATCCACCATCCACATACAGCTTGAGTGGTACTATGCAAATTTGCTCCTAGGACCAAGAAAAAAAAATGCACTCTGCGTCTGTCACAGTCGATTCTGAAGATACTGTCTGAAGTGTCCACCCTGCTCCCTAAACAACGTGAAACCATAGAGGGAACTACTCCAAGTAACCTCTCTTCTAGCTTTTCAACTCTGCTTTGAAAATCCAGCAAGAGTTGCTTACCTGGTGCTGGTGCTGCTGCAGTAGTGGCTGGAGGGTTCAGTGGGCAGGTTGTGCATCCTGTGTGTGCTCTCTGTGCTCTGTCCTGTGACTCAGCTGTGTGGAGCATATTTGTGCCCCCGACCTTTCTGGCTGGAACTAGTTCATTTTTTTGGTGGCGTGTTTTGCCTCCAACTCAGTCGTTTGTGTAATGTGGCTTCAGCAATATTTTGTCAGCTGTTTGATTCAGCTCTGGCGCTGCTTCCCAGTAACATGGCTATGAGTAGAAAGGCTTGCTGCTCATCTGTAATATAAGCTTAGCTGTGGCAGGCGGGGGTGGCTGAATGTGATTGCTGGGCCATGGGGCTGTGCAGCTGCCTGTAAGTTGGCAGTGTGGGCAGCTTATTAAGCTCTTCCAGCAGACACATAGTAAGTAGATGCATTTTCTGTGGTGACTCTTGACAAGCCAAACAGAAGCTGCTCTATTCTGTCAGCCAATTTTGGCTGGTCAGTTGTATGCGTCTCCAGATATGCAGAGCATTTGGAGCAAGGCAGTATGTTTTAGCCTGCATCTCTTTTTGTTTTCTTAGTGGAAGCTGCTGCTAAGCACAGCTGTGAGTCTGACCTTTTTGCAGCAAGCTGATAATCAGTTTTGTGTGCTTTCCTTGCTAATACGCTTTATTTTCAGGGTCTAGACCCTGCGTATTGAGAGCAGTTGCTATGGTTTCTAATTGAGCTAGTGTGTTAGATGTTGACCTGTATACACCCTGGAGCTACAGTTGTCTGTATAGCAAACTGGTTGAGTTACAAATTGCTTTCTTGTGATGCTAATGAAAGATTATTCAGTACTTTCTGCTCCTTGATGACAAAAGCGTAATATTATATTATATTATGATAGGATTTGGATGACAGCCCAATTGAGTAGTCAAAAGTACTAAGAAAGTAAAACTTCTGACATGTTTGGGCCATTCTGGGTTTTACCCCATGTCTAAAACTGAACTGTACTGTTCACTGGTATGTTTTTGGGGACTGGTTGAGAAAAACAAGGAAAATGGGCACTGGTAGTTGGAAATATCTTTGTACCAAACCTGTAGCATAGGTTTCCTGGTAGGTTAAGTAGTGTCTTTGTAGTGATAAGGAGAAGTAAAACCTTAAAGGGCCAGGAAATGCCAGCTGAGTGAATAGAGGGAAGTATGCCCTAAAGGGCCATTAAGTGCTGAGGGAGGGGATGGGGACAATGAATTTTTGAGATCTAATTGTAATAATAATGACCACTCATCCCTGGAAATGATTAATATGTATGAGAATTTAATGTATAAAAACCATGAAGTTTTTGTCCCTGGTTGCACAAGTTTGGTGGAGTGATCCCCCTTGTGCCCAGTGCTGAATAAACAAATACCTGCTCCTCAGAGAGACAAGTCTGTGAGTAGTTCTTTTACAGCTTTTCTCGGCATCAGTAGCGCAGAATGCTCTGCAGGGTCAGTGTGACTAGTACACAAATGTTAACACTAACGATTAGTTGTTGTGTAACTTATGCCACGATCTGTGTTTCCAGTTGGACAGTTTCACAAGACAGATAAGAAAATGGCCTGAATCTTTTGATAAAGTGCTGCTGCTCTTCTTTGGTGCTTTGGTTGCAGAGATGCATAGAATGACCTGAGTTCTGGCACACTTTTTATGGTTTGTGCATAGAGTGATAGCACAGAGAGGAGGATGTAATTTCTGTTTGCAAAACAAATATTCCAAATGGGGATACCGTGGCAACAAAAGCAGAAATGTGCTCGTTACAAATTACTGCTTTCAGCTGCTTCTGTTGCTGTCAAATTCTTGGTAAACCCCTGATAACCTGAGTACTTGCGTGATTATGTAGACAGACTATTTTTAAAGTACTCTGAGATCCTGTATTTTAATGGCATTTCCAGCTGATAGTGAAATAGTCATGTCTTCTTTATTATAAGTAAATGCTTCTGTATTTAGCTGTTACATAGATATGGTTGGCTTGAATTGTTTTGAAGATATTTGCTATTCACAGTCCTGTTTCAAAGCTGCTTAGGATAGAATGTGGTAACTGAAAGTATAGGAAAACATATCGTGAAAAACAAGGATATTACCACTGGACTTTATCCCACAGTATGAAGAAAACAAACACACACCTATTTGTACAGGTAGCCATAATACCTATTTCCATCATGTAGGAAATTATTGCTTTCCTGAAATTATGTATAGGAAATGAATACACCAAAGTTCTACCTGACCTGTCAGCATGTATTTATTTGATTCAGTTTATAGAGTTGCTACACATTTTGATGCATTGTAAAAGAGCAGCTGTATCCAAGAACAGTGAAACCGAGATTAGATGCTCTTTGGTTTCTAAGGTTGTGAGCATTTAATTTTAGACATTTATTTTGATTTTAAGATCTAAAAAAGAGTTTATTTCACTGAAAGCACTGAGGTGTTCCTCACTCT